TTGGACAAAAGATATTCATGTTGCACTCTGGCTAACCCTTTAGTTAGAATATCAGCTGGTTGTTCTTGAGTAGGAAGATAGTTAACACTAATTAAACCTTGTTGTAACCTCTCCCTTATGAAATGACAATCTATTTCAATATGCTTAGTTCTCTCATGGTATACAGGGTTTGCAGCAATCTGTATGGCAGCCTTGCTATCACAATATACTTGGACTGGCAATTGAACTTCAGTGTCTACTTCTTTCAGCATTCCAAGTAGCCACACTAGTTCTGATACAGTGGAAGCAAGACTTCTGTATTCAGATTCAGCAGAACTCCTTGAAACTGTAGTCTGTTTTTTAGCCTTCCATGAAACCAATGAATTACCAATCTTAATCATATAACCTGTAACAGACTTTCTGGTTAGTGGACAAGCAGCCCAGTCTGCATCACAAAATGCAGTAACCATACCATCAGAACAACTAGACAGTAGTAGACCTTGACCAGGTTGTCTTTTTAAGTATCTGATCACTCTTAATGCAGCCTCCATGTGAGACTTCTTTGGATACTGCAAGAACTGACTAAGAGTTTGAGTACTGAAGGCTATATCAGGCCTAGTCATGTTGAGATATAACAGTTTACCAATTAACTTCTGATACATTGCCTGATCTACCAAAGGATCTTTTGAGGCTTCTTGATTCTTGTTTACATGATCATCATACTGCTTGGATGTAAGTTTCACATTGGTGTCAATAGGGGTTCCTGCAGGTTTAGATGCTAACATACCAACCTCAGATATAAGCTCTAATGCATACTTTCTTTGATGCATTAGTATACCCTCTGCTGACCTAGTGAACTCAATACCTAGAAAGTATTTTAGTTCCCCTAAGTCCTTCATTTTAAACGCTTGCTGCAGTGCCTTCTTTGTCTCATCTATCAACTTAAGACTACTCCCAGTTATCAGCATGTCATCTACATACACAAGAACAATAATGATCCCTTCTGCTGATTTATTAATGAACAATGAATAATCATATTGGCTTTGTTTAAAATTGAGACTGATGAGAGCTTCAGTCAACTTCTGATTCCACTGTCTTAGAGCTTGCTTAAGCCCATACAAGGACTTTGTCAGTCTACACACCTTGTCCCCCTGACTGACAAAACCTTGAGGCAAGTGCATATAGATTTCATCTTCGAGATCACCCTGTAGAAAGGCATTGAACACATCCATCTGATGAATGTGCCAGTGCCTGGCAGCAGCAAGTGAAACTATAGACCGTACTGTAACCATCTTCACAATAGGAGAGAAAGTTTCTTTATAATCAATCCCTTCTTGCTGGCTATACCCCTTAGCAACTAATCTTGCTTTGAACCTCTCTATTTCACCTGTTGATTTATACTTAACTTTGTATATCCATCGGCAGCCTATAGGCTTCTTGTCTCGTGGCAAGTCAGTGATCACCCAAGTCTTGTTGGATTCTAATGCTTGAATTTCAGCCTGCATGGCCTCCACCCATCGTGCATCTTTGACAGCCTCTGAGTATGTAGCAGGTTCAGTAATTGTAGAAGTAGCAGCGATGTAACATTGATATGTAGGGAATAGATGGGCATAGCTCATGTAATGACATAAAGGATACTGAACATCTTGACTTATGTTCAAAGAAACAAAATCTTTCAGCCATGGAGGAGTCTGTTTAGATCTTGTAGACTTTCTAATAGACTGCTCCTGAACCTCAGGCTGCTGCTGCTCATAAACCTCAGGTTGCTCTTGAACCTCAGGATGCTGCTGCTGGTCCTGAACTATGTCTTCACCAATATCAGTGGCAAACTCACTGTCAACACCTGGCTGATTTTGAGTCGTCTTAGTATCACAATTAGCTGTATCACGATAAAATTCTGGCATTCCTTGAAACATCACATCTGAAGTATACAATGGATCTACAAACACCCTCTGCATGTCAACATTATCTCCTTGTGAAAAGGGAAACAGGTCCTCCCTAAAAATTACATCTCTGCTAACAAAGAAGGACCTGTTAGTGAGATCAAATAAAATGTACCCCTTTTGTATCTCTGAATATCCCGTATGAACAGCTGACTTTGATCTTGGCCTTAGTTTGTCATGTTCAGTAAGATTTTTGGCATAACATAAACAACCAATTGTTCTCAAATGAGACAACACTGGTTTGATGCCATATAACCTCTCATAAGGAGTTTGATACTGAAGAACACTGCTAGGTAGCCTATTGATAAGATAAGCTGCTGCTAAGACACAATGCCCCCAAAATCTTAAAGGAATTTTAGCTTGAAACCTTAGAGCCCTGGTTACTTCAAGTAGGTGTCTGTGCTTCCTTTCAGCAACTCCATTTTGCTGAGGAGTATAGGGACATGACTTTTGATGAATGATGCCCAGATCTTGAAACATGGTTGTACAAACAGAGTTGACAAACTCTGTGCCATTATCAGACCTTAACACCTTTACAGTTTTACCAAATTGAGTCTTAACATACTGAAGAAACACTTTAAGAGATACACAAACATCAGACTTTTGTTTGAGTAAGAATAGCCAAGTCATTCTGGAAAAGTCATCCACTATAGTAAGAAAGTATTTGTTTCCATCAAAAGTTGGTGAATTATAGGGACCCCAAAGGTCAACATGTATCAAGTCAAAGCAATTACAACTTCTGATTGTGCTGGAAGGAAAGAAAAGTCTTGTTTGCTTAGCATAGGGACAAACTAAGCAATTAGAAACTTTACACATACTTTGCTTATTCATGTCAAACAGCCTAGCAAGAACTACAGATGACACATGTCCTAATCTTTGATGCCACACTTCTATATTTGAGCATACTTGATTAACAGCAATGGTAGACTCCTTCACACCAATTGCAGACTCTTGCACACCATTGTCCTGCAGATGATTTAACTCTTTGAGCAGTAGATACAATCCACCTTCCTCTTTACCAACCTCCTTCACCTTTCCACTGTAGAGCTCCTGGAAAACACAAAAATTAGGGAAGAAGGTGACTGAGCAACCTAATTCCTTAGTGATCTTGCTTACAGACAGAAGATTGTGTTTGAAGTCAGGTATGTGAAATGCATTTGAAATGACACTTCTGGGTGATAATTCACAGGAACCAACATGAGTCACCTGAGTAGTACTACCATTTGGAAGATATACACACTTAGGAACAGTCAAGTCAGAGATAGAGTCATTGAGAAATAAATCGGAATTAGAGACCATGTGATTTGTTGCACCAGTATCTATTATCCATACTTCACTACTTTCTGAAGTAAATAATTCTTTACCTGCAGCATTACAGTTAGAGACAGTTGGTTCTGATCTTTGCTGGAACCTTTAAGAATATGATCATACTGGTCTTTTGTAAATGTACAGCCCTTAAGCAATTGTTTGACGTCCTTTTCATTTTGATCCATTGGTCTATTGATGATAGAGGGTTCAGCTAGCACTTCCTTGTTAACCTGTTGGTGTTCAACCGTTCTTCCCCACCTTGGTGTATTGACATTGACATTTGTATTCATACCATAGGAGAAAAGAGCCTGACCTGACTGATGTTGATCAGAATAACTGGTGTCTGAACCAGTCCCTTGAACCTTCCTCTTAGACTTGAAATCAGGTGGGTAACCTACAATCTTATAGCAAAATTCCTTGCTATGGCCTTTACATTTACAGAAATCACATACCAACAGAGAATTCTTCTTAAATCTCTGACTTACACCTGAACTTCCTGCAGATTTTGAATACAAGGCAATAGAGTCTGCACCCACAACATTCATCCCCAAATTATTGGTGTGTGTGACTACAGACCTCTGACTTTCATCTCCTACTACCAACGCATATGCATGATTAATAGATGGTAAAGGGTCCATCATGAGAATTTGACCCCTTGCCTGATGATATGATTCATTTAAGCCCATCAAAAACTGATATAGTTTCTGTCTATTCATGTGAGCTACAAAACCTCTAGATTTCTCACAATTACAGCCAGGAGAAGGCACTAAAACTTCAAATTCATCCCACAATGTCTTGAGTTTAGTGTAATAGACAGAAACAGATGCAGTACCTTGTTGCATCATAATAATGTCTTTGTGCAGGCTATAGGTTCTAGACCCATCTACCCTATCAAACCTCTCCTTCAAATCACTCCAAACTTCAAAAGCACTAGATGCAAAGGCAATACCACATAGTAAACTCTTAGACACTGAGTTCATCAACCATGACAAGACAATCGCATTAACCCTCTCCCATTGTCCCCACAATTCTTCACCATACATCTCTTTTCTGCAAGTGCCATCAACCAATCCTACTTTATTTCTACCCAACAAAGCTAGTCGAATTGATCGATGCCAAAGAGTATAGTTCTCAACACCAAGCAATTGAAAAGAGATAATGCTAATTCCACTCACATCAGAAGGACTTAGAAACAAGGGATGGTTATAGTCAATACCTTGTCCTTGCACAGAACTTGTATTGAAAGAAGTATTTGCCATACTTGCATCTTGGCCATTGTTACTAGGTTGAATCGGATCTGCTTCAACTCTGACATTCACCATTGAAAAATTTCTACAGAAAACCTTTGTTGCGGAAGCAAAAGAAGACGGAACAATTGAACAGCAGATTCGTCAGTCAAACTGTGATCTGCAACGAGTTCCTAAACAGCAATGAATTCAATTGATGAATCTGTGAATCAATTTGATGATTCTGTGATTCTTTAACAGAGACCCATGTGCACAGTTATCACTGTGACACAAGCTCTGATACCATGAAGGTAAATGCAGAGAAAGAAGAAGAAAGCTTTTATTGATTGAGCTCAAAGACTACTGAATACAGATGGAAGAGTTGATATTTATAGACTCTTCATTCCTACTTTGTAACTAACTTGTGTAACTAACTATTTAGAAGTTGTTATAACTAACTTCATACAATGACTTATTTACCCTTAACTAGTCTTACTACTTTTCTTCAACTGATTTAAAGTATCTTCATATCACAACACTCTTCCTCTTTGAATCCGCTGCAGCCCTCAAATCCCCAATTTTTCTCGTTCCGGCTAGAAGTAGCAGCCGGCAAGGACCAGGCAGCGCCGCCTCTCCCCTCTTCTCCTCCCCTCCCCGTCGCCTTTTTCTCTCATCTCTCCCTCCATTTCTCCTCTTTCTCTCCCCTCGCTTTCTCCTCTCCAGCGAGAAACAACAACTAACAGCAGCAGCATCCAGGCTAGGGCCACCGGCGAAGCCACCGCAAGGACCAGCGATAAACACCTGCAGCTCCGGCTAGCGATCCCGGGCAGGACGCCGAAACAGCAGCTCCAGCGAAGCCTCAAAAGCAGCAGCTCCGGCGAAGCAGTGGCGACGGCAAGCAACACCACAAATAGAGTTTGCTCGGGCGAAGCTATGGAGTTTTGGGTCCATTGGAAATGGATTTTTTCAGATCCGTCCGGGTACATTTTATTAGACTATTATCTTATCTTTCAACAATTTTGTTCCACTTTTCATTTGCAATTGGACCATCATTTTCCGACATCAAAGTTTTGGGCATGTCTACTTTATGTGAAAGATCATTGTGAACCTTTTCTCAAAATGAATATGTGTTCCTGCTATTTGCTTTGATTACATTGGTTAATTATGACGTGTAATTCATAGATTCTTATTCATTTCACTCGTATAGGCGACTCTATCTCGTTAACGTGGTATGAGCTTAATCACAGTCTGAATTGTCTTGTTGGTTATAGTGTTTGATTTTGGGAATTTATTATGGTAAGCATCATTTTACGAATAGTTCGATTTGGATACATAATAGCCGTAGTGTTTCATTTCTTATGATAAAATTAGCATAAATTTTAGTTTTTCTTTCCTTAATTAATTTTAGACGGATTGTGTCACTGATTTTCGACCTTTACTGTATTGTTTATTGGCTAAATTTGGAATCTTGCCTAATTAATCCTTTAAATTAATTCTTTGGCCATAGATAACTCGTACCAGATCTTTTACCCATCACTGTGACTGGTTTGTAATATTTGAAATTATTTGTTATGGTAAATATCTTGTTTTTTCAAAAATATTAAGTGAAAATTGCATAATCATTGATTTCTTGTGATTTTTAATATATATTTGTCATCTCTAATTGATCCTTTTACCTTGATTGATTTTAAATATATTCTTACATGTTCTCTCTTTAACCAACATTTCCCTTTCTTTTGAGAAATTTAAGATTGTCATAAATAGGAGAAAGAAAGATCCAAATACTAAAATAAAGAAACAACATTATTTATTCCTGTAATTTTTAGCACCAAACTATGCAGATAATGACTTGTTGATTTGAGGAAATGATTTTGTGTTGTAAGAAGTACGTTACATGCCTAATCTCAAACTGTTTTAGGGGATGGAGTATTTAAATGTCATTATAATAAGCCAACACTAATAGTTGTTGCTTATGACTTGAGTTATCTAAAGACGACTGAGGTACTCGTGGCTTCGCTCCTCAATACTTTTTGTGAAAATAATTAAAATTTGTTTGTCCCAGGTTGGACTAAAATCTCTTGAATTAAGCCAACTAGGAACTTCTGGATATTCCCCTACTACAGGAAAGCTACAAAAACCTGTAAATATATGGTGCATGTTGGTTTATAGAATAGCTTCTAATAGGGAACATTTGGTTTATTTTAATTGCCGATTGTTTAATATCATTTGGAGATATGCCTTTGTTACTCGTCTAGATTTTGATTTATTTTTGTGTCCCGGTCGGCCATATCATTTTGATTTCATTTTATAAATAAAAGAGCATGAAAATGTTGTATATAGGTTTTATTCCTTCACAACAAAAGGGTGCCAAAATGGAAATATTAATTCGTCTGGTTTTTTCTTCTTCTTGATTACTGTTAGTTTCCACATTAAAAGGGTGTCCTATGTTTGTATAAGTTATGTTCTGATTTGTTCTATTTTGATTTGTTCTGTTCTTTACTAAGTTTTTATCTTATTTTCAGATGTACGAAATGTTTTTCAAATGCTCTGTCTTGTTGGTTATCTTAAGCTATTTGGTCCTACTATGCCTAATTTCTAGAGAACTTTTGAGCTTGTGTGACATTGGAAATTCAGCCACGTGTTACCTATATCTGTTAAGTTTGATGTTGGTATTATTGTTTGTAATTAGCTTTGTAAGTTGAATTTCTATTTGAATCCGGAACCTCACCTAAGTTATGATAATCTTTCAACAAGGAAAATACTTTATACTGTCGTTTATTCTCATGTTGTTCAAAGCTAATTGTTTCTAGACTCTTATTGCTCAACTTCTTTTTTTCATAACATGAGGAAATTCTCAAGTATCACATGAGCTTGTATCTTCTGAGTTGCTGCACGCTTGAGTTGCCGATGGACAGTTGCTATGTATTGCTTGCAACTATTGTATATTACTGCAAATAGTTATTGCATCTGAGGCTAATCTCTGCTATATTTTGAGAATATTTGTTGCTGCAATATGCGGCTGATTTCTGCTATGTTTTGGGACTATTTTCTGCCACGATTTGAGGCCATTTTGTTGCCGAATTTTGGGACATTTGTCACTGCAGTTTTGGCCATTTACAGCTGCATTTTTGCCATGATCTGCTATTGGAACCACTTCCTTCCTGCTGCATTTTGAGGTTGTTTCTTGCTTCATTTTGAGAAAAACTACTGCATCTTTGGACAATTAGTTCCTGCAATTCAAGCAGATTTGAGGCTAAGTGCCTGATTGTATTTTTTTTGACAAAACAGATGCTACATTTTGTATGATGTTACACTTATTTGAATGATACTACAAAGGCTGTTGAAATAAAGTTGAGGGAAAACCCCTTCAAAATAGTTATCTTTGGTTTGGTTCTTTCAGATGCTTGTGATTAGTGACAATATTTTATCTTTAAAAGCTTAACTTTTAGTGATGACTACGTTATATTTTCCAAAACTTAATTTTTTGTGATGATTATATTATATATTTTAAGACACTCACATTTTCTTCATAAAAGTATGATATTTAGTGACAAATAATTTTATGCTTAAAATTGCTACTTATTACCTACAAAGTAACTTTGTAGTATATAACAAGTGTAATTGTCGCTAATTATGACATCTTGTAGTGAAAATTGTATTTTATCGAATAAATAAAATATTTTTAGTGACGAAAAGATTGTTTTTAGCTACAAAATTATAAAAAAGGAAAGTTATCATTAATTTATACATTTGTATGTAAAAGGTAATTTTTAGTGACGAAATAATGTTTGATCAACTACGAAATACATATAACATTAAAGACAAATGAAGTCGTCACTGATTGAACTAAATAATTAGTGATACATCAGTTTCGTCATCCTTAATAACTTCTTTAGTGACGAAATACTAAATCGTCTTTGTATACATTTAGTGACCCATGCTTTAGGGACAAATGATGGACGAATTATTTATCGTCAAGAATGTTCTTTTGTGACGAAATAAGAGTTTTTAGTGACAAAATTATTTGTCACTAATAATTGAATTTGTTGTAGTGAGGTTGAGTTTTCCTCACTACATGCCAACCTTTGTTGGGATTGACACTAGCATAAAATACTTGAGATGGTTGGTTGGCTAAAGCAAAAGGCTCATTTGTTTTCAAAAATCTACTCAGATTCACACCAACGAAGTCATACTCATCTATTTTAACTCCTTTTGTTTTGTCATCCACATCAAACATATTACACCGGAACAAAATCACTCTTCTATCCGAGATAAATTGCAATTCAATCACATTTGTTAAAATTCCATAGTAATCAACATTCTCACTATCTTTAGCATTCTCGCCAACTACAACAACACTACAATTTTGAGTCCTTAACATTTGATCATGATCTTCTACATGAAATCTATATCCATTAACAATGTAAACACTAGAGTGAGTTGAATATTTAGTAGGACCACGTGAAAGTGAGAGAAGATCTTCCATCAGCCGACTATTATATATTTTATGCAATTGTGCAACCTAGAAACAAGATAACATTGAATACTTCAGAATGATTAGTAACAAGTTAAAATATTGAATCTATTGTTTATGTATTTCTCACCCTATGTTTAAACCATTCAATAAATTATTGGTCATATTCTGCATCTGACAAGTTTTGAGCAGTATCTATATGATTTTGTGCAAACTCTCTACAAAATTTCGGTTAACCATAAATTTCATGTAGAAACTATATCACCTTAAATGAAATAAGAAAAATAAGAAGATATAAAAGAACTCTCCATACTCAAGATATGGTATGACTTCATCACATTTCTTCAGAATGTATTTATGTGCCTGTTCCAACACATAAGCTTCAAGCTCGAATGGAACTTTAGCTCTCAAAAAAAAATTCGGGTTGACAAAATATAGTTAAAACTACTCCAATTGATGTTTTTAAGCCCCCATCATAATTCTTTCAGGACGATTGAATTTTGTGTCAATTATATGCAGATACCTTGAACATAAGGTCATGCATTCATTTGCAATGTAGCCCTCTGCAATAGATACTTCTGGACATGCCCTATTACCAATGAGATATTTCAAAAAATATAACCATCGCTCAATAGGATGCATCCACTAATAGTGTATAGGTCCAGTAATCTCAGCTTCACCAGCTAAATGAATAGGCAAGTGCACCATGACATCAAAAAACGAAGGAGGGAAGACCTTTTCTAACTTGCAAAGTATTATGGGAATTTGTGCTTCAATATGTTTCAAGTCATCAATCCTCAACTATTTTGATCCAAGAACACAAAAAAAAATAGACAACTCAATAAGACGTTCACACACTTCTTTGGACAACATACCACGAAGAGCAAGAGGGAGTATATGTTGCAAAAGAACATGACAATCATGACTTTTTAATCCAGATATCTTGTGATATTTCAAGTTTACACATTGAGAGATATTAGATGAAAATCCATCCGGGACCTTTAATTTCTTCAAGAAAAGATATAACTTGTGCTTATCTTTAGTTGACAATGTGTAGCATGCAGTTGGAACTTCAACTTACTCCCCTCTTTGGATTGTGTGCGATCAGGCCTAATGTTCATTTCCTTCAAGTCTAACCGAGTGTTAATTGTGTCCTTTGTCTTTTCTTGGACATTCATGATTGTCCCCATAATATTATCACATATATTTTTCCCAATATGCATGGCATCCAAATTATGTCGCAACAAGAGATATTTCCAATATGGAAGTTCAAATAAGATACTTTTCTTGTTCCAATTATCCTTTCGTTTTTATGTGAGATCTTCCTCTTTTTCTTAGGATCCTTTGTTAATGGTTGTTCTTCAAGATCTTGCACTTGATTAAGTATCTCTATTCCAAAACATGTTTTTGGTGGGAGCCTTTTCTCTATTGTATTATCAAATGACTTCTTGTTATTCCTCCATTTGTGATCCTTGAGAAGGTAACGTCGATCACCAATAAAACATTGTTTCCTACAATTAGCCAATTGAATTGAAGAGGTGTCTTTATTACAAGATTGACATGCTAATTTTGTTTTTGTACTCCATCCAGATAAATTTTCATAAACTAGAACGTCATTGATAGTCCAACAAAGAAAGCATGCAACTTAAAATTTTGTTTCGTTGATGCATCAAAGGTCTCAATACCAACCTCTCACAACTCCTTCAATTCCTCTATTAGAGTTTGAATATATGTATCAATTGCATCTTTGGGACCCTTTGTACCAGGAATAAGCAACTCCACAGGACAAGATAAATTTTTCATGTTTCATACACAACCAAGGTTGTAAATTATAAGGAAAAAGAACCATATGCCAAATGCTATGTGAGGTTTTTGAATTGTGAAATGACTTAAATCCATCATTAGAAAGTCCACGTCGAACATTATGAGGCTCCATTGAAAATGAAGGATGAAGTTCATTGAATGACTTCCATGCCATTAAAATCAGCTGGGTGCATCATTATTCCGTCATTACTTCTTTCATCCTTATGCCATGTCATTAGAGAGATGTCTTTGTAGACATAAACAACCTCTGTAGCCTAGATTTTAAGGGAAAATGGCGTAAAGTCTTTGAGGCTATCTTTTTACCCTTTATATTCTTGGTTTCCCCAGAATGTATATTTATTTTCCATTTGAACACACCACAAATTTTGCAAGAATCGAGTAAGCTATCCTCCTTCCAATATAACATGCAATCATCAGTACAAACATCAATCTTGTTGTAAAAAAGCCCAAGATCTTGAATAATCTTTTTTTCCTCATAATATGAATTTGGCAAATCGGCCCCATCAGGAAATAACTCCTCTTTTAACATTTTTAATAGCATGGTAAACGATTCATTACTCCAACGACCCATATTTTTTATGTGAAGCAATTTAATCAAAGATTAAAGCTTTGAAGCCTTTGAGTTTTGGTATAGTGGCTGCTCCAAATCCTTCAAAAGGCTGTAAAAAATTTTAGCTTCAACATTTGGTTCCTTCTCAACTACATCATCATAACCAGTGTGGGCAGCTCCTCCATCAACATTAGGATATAGATCTTTCAATAATTCTTGTACTTCATCTTCACTCTCCTAATCTTCTACTTCATCATCATTTTCATCTTGAGATTTTGACACTGGGTCACCTAAATGTTCTCCATGGTGATACCAAAAAGTATAATTTTAAATTATTCCATATACTTTCAAATGTGTATCAGTCATCTCACTAGTTCCTAATGTTGTATTACAACATTTGTAACATGGACATCGTATTTTATCTTCTTCTTTTGATCCCTAAAAAACATAATCCAAAAACTTTTTCACCCCATCTGAATAGGTTTGGTCGACCCGATTATCATGAGAAGTTGCATCCATT